ATTTGTCTCTACAGATATGGGTCAGGTAATCAGAAAATAAGAATAAAACTAAGAAGAGCTCTATCTCTTGACTATGACGCCGTATAGTCCATTCAAAGTAAACAGAGCTTTCTTAACAACATGTCGCTTCCAGATTGAGGGTTTTTTTTTTTTCAGTGGCTCTTCCAGACCGTTCAGGGTCCTGGCCTCTTATTCAGTTCCGTAAACATTTTTCACAGCTGGTGGGACTCCTTGGACGGGCGATCACCCGTCGCAAGGCCTCTACCTAAACACAGGACAACACAAACACACAGTAAATGCATACCATGCCTTGAGTGAGATTCGAACCAACGATCCCAGCGTCCAAGTGAGCGAAGATAGTTCATGCCTTAGACCGCGAGGCCACTTTGACCGGCCCTCAAACTTGAGTGTCGAAGTATATAAGGCAAGCAAGAAACCAGTATGATTCAAAATAAAGCTTCCCGATTGGCTTATTCCTCGACCCTGAAGACGGAAGCAAGATGTTCCTCAGAAACGCTGCTTGAGTTGCAGTGAACTACAAGGTGTTCGAATCAAAGAAGATAGAACTCCTCGTATTCACCGCCGTGAGAACCACAGATCCTACAAGAATAACACTACAGGAATAACACTACAAGAATAACACCACAGGAATGACATTACAAGAATAACAGCACAAGAATAACACTACAAGAATAACAGCACAAGAATAACACTACAAGAATAACAGCACAAGAATAACACTACAAGAATAACAGCACAAGAATAACACTACAAGAATAACACAAGATGACGACGAAGTGAACTTTATATGAAAAATGACAGTTATATACAGTAAACATTCGATATAACGGACTAATGAGGGGTTGTCCGTTATCGTCGATGTCTGCTTTAACCTCTATAACCACAGGATACACAACGAATACACACAATAAACGTAGAAACACACACTGTGATTGTGTAAAGGTTTTTGTATTGGAGCTACTTCTTTGTAAATTGTTTTCTAACTACAAGACCTTTTTAATGTCTCAGCGTCTCTAGAAATTTACAATTGTATACAGCCATATTTTGTACGTTATATCCGAAATCCGTATTTAAAGCTTTTTATGCATTATAGGCAATGGATTAATAATTAGCAGAAGGAAATTGCAGGACTCACAGAATCTCCTACTTCAGCAACATTTCATTCGCTGCCAACCTCACGTGAATCACTTGGGATTGAAACAGGGGCTCTACGTTGAGAAACCACCGCTTAACCGCCTCAGCTCACTACTCGGAAATTACCCGAGTGGAGCTTCGGACTCACAACTTCGTAACGCAGATGGTGACTGATTATGTGAGATCTCATGTTCTCAGAGCCGTGAATATCACAACTGCTGCCGTGCAGTCCAGTAGAAAGTTACCAACATTTCGAAAAAAAAATGCGTAGAATATTTTTCTACCCTGAAGATGGAGGCATTAGGTCCATTTTTATAGTCTTGCCTAAAGTTATCAGCGTTTTTGATGAATATGTTGCCACTATCTTCAGTGTAGAAGCCTTTTCCATACTTAAGGTGGAGGTAGTTTCTTTAAAGATGGAAAATTTTGTACCTTGAAGATGGGCGAACAAGTTTCTACGAAATGTTTCCGTTACTTCCTATCAAACGACATGATGTCACATCCCAGAAGAGTGGTAATGCACTGCCTTTAGAATCCTACGTCTCATATAATCATACTTTATCTCCATTGTGAATTTATTTCATATCTGAAGTTCCACATTTGGATGAATTCCAAATATTATGGATCATGTCATAGCTGAGGCTCGTCACCACGGAACCTCGGGTTCAAACCCGGGTGACTTCATATGAGATTAGTTGCGGCCAAGGAGAAATATTGCAGTGTTTTAGGCGGGTTTCTTCGATTGTTCCTCCAATTCATCATTCTACCATTGCTCCATACTCATTTATAATCTCCCCGACGTTTGAGATATGTCTGAACCCTATTACATTCTCACTCTCTAAGTTATGAGCTTTATATCTGATAGAGAACGTAGTTACAGAATGACGAAGTAAAACTTAATTAACAAGGAACTTAGTTATATATCTTCTGAGACAAGTGTAGAGCCTATATCATCAATCACCTAGAATTTTTCTAAACACTCTAAAAGTATGTTCTTTTCTTCATAGATTATTTGACTGTACTGCATTAGGAACCTATTCTGGAAACTCAAGTGTCCAGCTGTTTCGAGCTTTGTAGTAAGCGATACGTTGACTTCAGTTCTGAAGAGAGCATTATTCGTGTGATCACATTCTTCGCATGTCAGTGCTTTCTTCTCTTAATGTTGCTGGCTGGGAAATGACTTTCAGCCTCACTCAGTTCCGACAGAAACACGAGGGAACTTCAAGACAAGTACGACTCGAATTTCTGAATTGAACATGATTAATAATCCCCCTGCTGCTGCAAGTGACCGCAGTGTAATTGGGATACTCAGCTCAACAGAACATGTCAAATACATGCTGGGATCTGATAGGGGAATAAAAACGACTGATTTAATTTGTGTAGAAACCAAGTTATGCATTAAAGAGAACCCCTTTACTACTACACTCTCTTTGGCCGTCATCGTTACTAATCTGAACCTGGAGGCTTGATGTTGAAGGTAGCGTCACGCTTAACCCATAACACGCAGAGCCAAAGTTGCCGGCTTGTTGTTAGTCAGGTAGTTAGTATTTCTATTAATAGATGGCATCATGTGTGACATAACGATATTTAGAAGAAGGAACAGTCTTTTATATGATATATACCCCTTGCTGTATGAAGGTCATTTGAGATCAATATTGGGGATTTCTTCTCCAACTGCTCTTGCCATCATCAGTCTCAGACGTTCTAGTTTGAAGTTCCATAGCAGGACTTAATAGTGACAATATTTAATATCACTTTAGAATATTCTCTCTTTAATTTGTATTGACGTCTTATAAACTGTTCGATGAATTAAAAAAAACACATTTAGATTTACGACATTTCGGTTTATAATTACCATTAGATATACTTGGCCCTCAAGATAGAACAGATAATAAAATAGTTCTTTATATAATATACATTAAGAAGACTTACTTCGGATAGTGCGTCTGAGCGGTCTGAGCTATGCATGAGAGTTGCAGTGCTGCTTCCTGAAGATATCAACATTCTCTTCCAACGGACCGTTAAACTTGTAACGGATTATGGATTGTACTTGAAACGTGATTTATTATGAAGCCTTCATAAATTATTTTTAAATGAAAATTCTTTCCATTTCAAGATTCATTAGACTTCATACTATTCGACGCTATAATAATCTAGATAATGAGAACATCCCGAAATAAGCCACGAGAAAGATGTTCTAGTGTCTATATTTAGCCGTTAAATCACTTGTTTTTACAGCAAATATTTTTTCAATTTGTCAATATGGATTATTCGTGAATTTCGTAAAATTCTCAAAGTAAAGAAATTAATTGCCCTAAACAACGTCACAGACTGATACTGTAGCGTATAGAGCCGTTTCTGGGCAACAGCTCGGTAAACACGCTCTCGCGGAAAAGGATACGCCTACAACAATAGAGATACTTTTGGATATGGCGTTTTCTACTCGGTCAGTGCCCCACATCAACAAGCCTGCAACTGTCGTACAGTAATAAAGATCTGGTCTTAAGCCCCAGATGGATGTTTATTCCAAGGCAGACTCACCGACTGACCGTCAGTTGTAACGTAACTTTGGCTTTGTCTTGAAGAATACTTCAGTTGGAAGGGAGTCACCGTCCAGAGAGAACTTGAGCCAGGAAGCAGAGGAATTTCCATTGTTATAAGCCGTTACTAAGAAAGGTGCAGTGAAGGTATTGCAGGCTGGAAAGGACTTAGCGTGATTTGTGAAGTGTGGAAATCAGCAATTGCGTTATAATTAAGTGGAGTTACGAGTTGTATGATGAAGTGGTCAGTACATCCAATATCCAATATTAAACTCCTTCGATAGTCACTCTAACGCGTGACAGTACTTATAATGAAGACGCAATACATTTTCCTTGAGACAGGGTCTGAATTTGTAAATATAATGGCAAGATATATTATTTCTCAACATTTTATACAAATGCTGGATTTTTGTTAAGCTACTGCTACAAGTAATTAATCTACTTGAATCCCTCGAAATCTTTAATGACATTTATTGTACAGCATGTCCCAAACGTCCCTTAAGTTAGAAATTTTGGGAAATAAAATAAACTAAAACGAGGCCTGTGTCAGAATCCATTCTACACCTTTCATTACATGTCTTAGAAACCAATAAAACGGGGCTATCTTATGAAGTATAGACGTATAATAACTTAATTACTATTAGCTCTATTTTAAGTTGCGTCTGCGGCCCTTTAAGTGAAAGTCACTTTTGCTGAAATTTCAATTACTAAACACAAGATGGTATAGCGTTTTATGATTCAGGTCTGTGGAATAGATTACAGTTTCTAATATCATAATACAAAGTGGTAAGAAATATATGTTAAACGCTCTGTGGTAGATAGATGGGTTCAGTCTGATCATATTTTATTAATACACCAATGTCCGGAAACGCTTCTTTTTGGCACTGAGGATTACAGAAGTTTCCGAGAGGCTGCATAAGTTTTACGAGATGTTATCGTTGTTTTACATTATAAAGTTGTTCAAAATGGCGGCAGAGAACTTCATTGCATGTTCTGCACCGCCTGGTCGTGTTCCCNTGAACTCTTTGAAAGATTCCCGGCATTTCTCGGACGGTTCCAGCTGCTACTACAATTCTTGCCACACGACCAGGTTGTGTCTCCACTGGAGTCTCGTACACCAGGCTTTGCATGTACCCCCAGAGAATGAAATCCAGTGGAGTCGAGTCATAGGAGCGAGAGGGCCAGGTTATTGGGCTTCCACGTACAATCCACCTGTTGCCAAAGGTTTCATCCAAATACTCACGGACGATATTAGTGCAGTGTAACGGGGCACCATCATGCTGGAATCCCATTTCACGGCGGACTTCCAAAGGCACCACTTCCAGCAGCTCAGGTAAGGTCTCTTGGAGAAATGTTATATAAATGTCACCAGTAGGCCACAGAGGTAAGAGGTAATGACGTCCTTATTCACATTTCAGAGGCCCTAGCGCGTAAACAAAGCGTTTCCAGACGTGGGTGTATTAACAAAATGTGATCAGATTGAACCTATCTATCTACCACAGAGCGCTGTAACATAATGTGACATACCGCCAGGAAGGCCAGACGATAATACGTCCATCACTGGTCAACGGCTAGCAATTCCTATGCAGCAATTCCTAGGAAATCGTTGCCCCAGAAATGAAAGTATAACAGTGGGATTTCCAGCCTTATTTACAAATGAGTTGTTTGAGGCAGACACGTATTCCCGCGGCATCTGAAATTAACCCTTCCGCAAGGTGTTCTCTATTCAGTATGAATGCGGGATATAAGTGTTCGTATCCGACAAGAAGCCACATAACGAGAGTACTCGTCAGTGTTGACCCTTGTGGAGGCGGGGTCGAATACCTCCACGGTGACCCTGCAAGCCGTAGGAGGCGACGAAAAGAGAAGTCTCGAATCCGAGAGATTCAAATGTGGTCGCGAGTTCGAAGGGACTAGGACCCAAGAAACACTGCGCTGGCAAGGGCCAGCAGCATATACAAGAGACAGACCCGTCCTCTCGTCAGAGAGGGGGCCCCACAAAAACAAAACCGTAATTGTCAAATAGTAATAAATATCTGGTCACGAGCCCCACATGGGGCTCCACACCAAGACTTACTGACTGACTGACTGACCGTCAATCTCAATGTGACTTTGACTTGAGACCGGCAGAGTTCGTATCCGACACGAGACCAGTAGCGTTCCTATCCGACACGAGACTAGTAGAGTTCGTATCCGACAAGAGACCAGTAGAGTTCGTATGCGACGAGAGCTAAGGACAGTTGAACTCCGAGCAGAGCAGAAGACACGTCACCGAGAATACAGGTGCGAGAGTGTATAAAACTGAAGAAAGAAGGTCCGAAGACTTTATAAGTTCGAATAATTGTATTTGTGAGTGCAAGGAGCGATCGTCCAATAAATATTCGTCCAAATTTGAGACCCATAAAATTTCTTGTCACGTTGCCTAGGAAACACGAGACAATACATTTATTTACACCCTGTATAGTCAGACGATCTGTTATATATATAGTTAGATTAATATTACATTATCTTTGGAATTAAAGTTGACATGACAGTGTTAAGTTTTCTTAGATGTAATGCTGCTTGGTGTCTTTCTACCAAACTACACTGACTCACATAAAGAAGAATATTATTATTGAAATTCGAAGCGATGAGAGCACGAAATCTCACAAAATAAGGATGACTTCTTAATAATGCAGGACACTTTTTTTCTAATTTCAAGATTTTAATCTTAGGAATTTCGCTGTTTAATTTCATCAAAGTGACCTCTCTAATGATATAAATCACTCAAAGCTTCTTTGTGAACCCGTATTTTGCGAACATAAACACAATGAACAAGTAATGCAATTACAATTTCTCTTATACTACAGTTGGAGAATAACCTCTTAAAATTTATTAAAAGGTTTTAATTAAATTTTTGGAAGTAATGGCGACAAATTTCAAGACGAATATTCCTCACTGCTCCAAAAATCTTTCAGTCTTAACTGTTGCTTTTGTTTAGCTTCGCACTATTCAAACAGAGAGTAATTAATTATAGTATGAAGATGATTTTCCTACGGTAATTAGTAAAGTCGTGGACAGAACCTGTAAATGTGAGCTCCAAGGTGCTTGGATTGCCTCTAGCAGTTAGTAATTATAGTCTATTCAAATGCGTTCTATTGTTTCAGAATCACACGATTCAACACTAACAAAGCCTACAAATTATATTTACTATGAGAGATATTCGAAATAATTTATGAAAATGTATATATTCTGGATTATAATACTGTGTAGTGCAGTAAAAGTTCATCGACGTTTCGGAGAGAAGTACTGCTTCGTTATTCAGGGCTAACAAGACGCTAAGAAATTTACAAGGAAGAACCAAGCACCAAGGTGAATGCTTGCTTTTAATTCCTTGCTTATCATATCTTAAACTCTGAAGCTGGAGGCGGTACATAACTCCGAAGCGTCAATAAATTTCTTCCGATTTACATCGCTAAAAATCCCTTACGATAGTATTTCTCATATGAGCAATCCTGAGAACATCAGATATTCTATTATAAATTATTTTTTCAACTTCACACTTTAGGTCTATCTCAAGCTTCTAGTGCTCTCAGACTCTGATATCTTTAACAACCAGAATTTTTCTTGATGTGCTCCTTATGCTTAGCTTATTTCTTCTATATTATTCTTCACGACCTTACCTATTCTGAGTGAAGGCTTCTTATTACGAAATCCTGTCCAATTTATTTTGGTGTGAAATAAGTAATTGTAGTGGTATAGTCAAGACAAACAAATGTCTTCATCCGAATCAAGGTATGCATGAAATAAATCATCAAAGATAATGTATTTTATAAAAGGCTTCAGTAACTATTACATTTCATGACTAACATGTCTGCAAGATATGTGGACAAACTTGTATATTAAAGTCTTATGAAGCACTTGAGGCAGTAACATAATAATTAAAATCACTTGTTCTGTCTTCATCTTCCTCATCAGAGCGTTTCTATACTACATTCCCTGTTCGGAAGCAAACCACACTATTGATCCTACACTACTTTTCATATGCTTTCCCTAGCATCTGTCCTTGGAGCCTGTATTCTAGTGCTGCTCTGGACGAGGAACAGTCTTGCATCCGTTGCATAACTGTCAGTTCATTTCCAAATTTCGAGGTTCATGCTACCTTTCTAAAGTTTCTATCGAATGTTTGTATTTAGCATAATTTCTCTCATTCTTATTCCACCTAAGCGCTAAAGGAGGGGAAGAGGAATGCATATAGGATATAGGTGGGAAAGCCAGAAGGAAAGAGACCACTAGGAAGACCAAGAAGTAGTGGGTGGATAATGCTAAAATGGATCTTAGAGAAATAGGAAGGGAGATATTGACTGGATTGATGTGGCTCAGGGTAGGGACCAGTGGAGGGCTCTTGTGAATACGGCAATGAACTTTCGAGTTCAGTAAAATATTAGGAAGTTCTTCCTACTCAACTGGCGACGTCTCAAGAAGGGCTCATCTCCATGAAATTAGTTAGTTAGCTTACCGCACCTAATGTTCTGAATAGTCTAATGTTTGCTCCTTTAATACCCTATACACTTCACTCAGAGGCTTTTCTTACCAGTGAAATTAATGGGATATTACTGCCATTAGAATACAGTATTATTGCTGCTCATGCACTTTGGCTCGTTCTTTTGGTCCGCATCTTCTCTTATTTACTGAAGGACTGTTTCCTTTTTTCTCCGAGAAATGTCTCTGAAGAGAGATGTAATGAATAAAATGCAAATCATTCGGAAATGGAGAATAAAGAGAGAAATAAACAAAAGCAGGAAGAAATGAGGAAAGAGAAATGAAGTTTTATTTACATCACATCTGATCACCTTCAAGATGAGAAATTCCGACATTTCTCAGGGATAAGTCAGTTTCGATGACAATATTCTCTTGATTTGTACTCTCAAATTACTCTTCGTCTGCATTTATAAATATCAAAACTTTTGAAGTAAGAAATTGGATGGCATGTACGTGTATAACTTAAAGAACAGCGATGATATAATTTAAAATTTTAAATTAAGGCTGTTAGAATCTGGAGGCCCAAGGAAGAGAAAGAGGGAAATAAGGAAAGAGAAAGAAAATAAAAGGAACTTCACAAGGCGTCTGCATTATAATCTCATTGTCACTAAGATTTGCTTGTCACTGACACACAGTCAAAATTCCGTTGTAAAACTTTGTACGCTACTAACGCTTTTGTCTTTTCTTGCAGTCGTGCCGTTAACGTTTCTTTCCTTTTATATGTCTTTTGTTTACTTCGTCGAATTCAGTAGCAAAGAGCAGATTCTGTGTCTATAGAGGAGATGTGATAAGAACATTCCTATGAAGAAAGCAGTCTTCTTGGATTTGGCACCGTGTATATGTGGTGTTAACCGACGTTTCGGAGGAACGTATCGCCTCCATCTTCAGGGTAGAAGAAAAAATATAAGAAATCTGCAAAGCGAAGAGACCGTGAAAGCCTCAAATATTACAAGAACATTCCTAATTTATTATTTTCTTGCAATAATATAATGAGGTTCTCCTCCGTAATGTATAAAATTCAAGAATTTTCGGTTCCTTATAAATGCTATGATCCACAAGATACTGATCCCAAAACACGGTTATTGTTTTTAAATTATAATCTTCTGAGTTGTGACACTCTGTGTTATTGTAACGGAATATCTGAGACTGATGAAATGCTAAAGAATATCACGACCATAATCTCAATTAGTGTCAAGCTAACCGCCGTGTCGAATATACCGAATATTTTCGAATATATCAAACCTTCGGTCATTGTTTGAAAGAACGGAAGTTAGTGGAAGTAGGACTTAACGAAAAGTAACAGTGGTAGGAAGATATGATCAATTTCATATTCGAAGATAATTCTTGAAAATTAAGAGGTCACAAGCAGACGGAAATTTTAAGACACTATGATCATTGTGAAGAAAACTAAAACTTCAGAGATTTGGAGAAGATTGATTTCCATAACTTGGTAAGGAAGAAATATTTGGAAAGAGAGTGGGACAAATAAATCGATATTTAAAAAAGATTGTTTTATTTTTTAAGCTCTTAGAAGTGTTATATCTTCAAAATTTTCCAAAAATATGAAGTTTATGTTATTTCCGCAACATGGAAGACGAAACATTTAAAATAATCATAAATTATATGAATTTTGAAAAATTGAGGACAATTAAAATGTCTTTTTTATTAGTTGTAATTTAATTACATTTTTACTTTAATATAATTTAAATAATTCTCGATAAATTCATTGCTCCGTTGGATACGCCGGTGAATGCTCAGTGACCTACTGCGCAAACCTAACCTAACCTAACCCATACCAAGCCAATCACTGGA